GATGATACAACTTTGTAACATAATTGAAATTGGGATGATCAAGGCGACAATGTCATAACATGACATATTTTTCGACAGACATAGATTCAACAAAATCAGAAATTTGTGGTGAAAATGGAGGAGAGATCTGTTGTGTGTCTAGAGAAAGATTTCCCTTGATATAAGCTTTGATGTATTTCAACATTGTCAACCACATTCTCGACTCCACCACCTAAAATTCATAAATATTTGAAAGAATTTAGTTATACATTTCATACCACGACTAAACATATTCATTTAAATCAAATTGCAGTCCAACTGTGTGACATAAAATAAAGGAAAGAGTAATATCTTGAGAGAGCTTCACATCTTCTTTAACAACAATTTTTTAGTGTTATCCATTTACAAGTCTGACCGATCTCGATGTAGAAGCCTCTTCATAGTTGACTAGAGCATTAATGTTTCCGGTCATATGATGAGAGGCTCCTGAATTTATGATCTAAGTTTTAAGGGTCTCTTTGGGGTAGCTGCAACTTACCCAGCTTATGCTGATAAGCTACTGATCCAAATAAGTTGTTGATCAGCAGATGATCCAGATAAGCTGACTGACTGTTTGGTTTGTGCGTTTGAAAAACAACGGATTTGTAGCTGTTTCTGGATAAATGATCATTCTGCCTCTAATTTGAATAAGTTGTGTAGCTGCTTGGCATATGCATTTGGAAAACAACTGATTTGTTGTTATTTTTGGATAAATGACCATTTCTTTTTTCCCTTCAAATTTTTAATTAGGCACGACAAACGGGATAATTGATCATATGATTCTAACAACTATACAAATGAACGCACCACCGTAAACAACAAAATTTACATAAATCACAAAAGTTTCCAATTTTTTTCTTAATGTTTTTTTTTTCTAAGCATTTCCAAACTCTATCAGAGGCCGTTGAAAACCACATATCTCACAATACTCGTAGGAAATATTCTGATTTTAACAACCAAGATTGGAATTTATAATTTGTATCATCATCAAAACCCATATTATTATGTTGAATAAAGCCATATTATTCTACGCACATGAACATAACCTTGTTTTAATAATGAATAAAATTTAATTCAATATATCTAATTACTAAACATAACCTTGCTGTTGAAGAATGGCTCGAGCCACATGAAGCTGTGCAGCTCTAATCCTACTATTCCAGGGAAAGTCTTGTTATGAATGGTTTCTATGTGTCACATTCTACACCAGTTACTAGAGCATCATTCTTCTCGTTTCCTTACAATAGATCAAGCTATCAATTCTCAACGCCTCAAACTTCTATGTGGGATTATTTATGGAATCCTTTCTCATCGGATCAGTTTGGGTATTCCTCAAGGAGCAGTTTTGATAGGACAGTAAACGATTACCATAATAAAACTCATTATTCTGTAGCTTCGAGGCGTAATTTAAAAAATTTATGCGGGAGAAATATAAAAAATAAAGCTTAAGCGTTAGATATGTAAATACATAAGAACCGGCTGGTATGTATGTAAAAGCCTCAAACCGCAGAAATACTTTCACCTCATTCTTTATCATTGCAAGATTAAAAATCAAGAAATTTTTTTTTCTTTCTGTACACAAAACCGAAAACTTGAGCGTACAGTTGCTCTTTTTTCCTCTCCCAAAATATGGCTAAACCAAATCCTGAATTGCCTCAGTAGTCAGGATTTCTCTTCCAGAGGCTGATTAAAATCAAAGGGGCTGCATCATATTTTCATAAAATTTTTTTCATCCAGTTTGGTTGAGCAATTTTTATATTTATCCTCTAAAACCTTGTTCTTTTTTGCTGAAATTCATTTCAGCATATGCTAAAATCTATTTGAGTATATGTTAAAATTCATTTGCTGAAATTTATTGAAGTCCAAGCTGAAATTATCCCTTTTAATGGCTGCATTGCAAGTTGCTAAACATAAATATTCCATATGTTGAAATTATTTTGAGAAAGTTGTATGCTCTGAAACATTCCAGTTGAAATTATTTTGAGAAAGTTGTATGCTCTGAAAATTAGATTTTCATATTGCAGAAATGCATTCATCCATGCTGAAATAAAGTCTTCATAACCACCAAAATAAACTTCTTTCTATTAAATTAAATATCTAACGCTTGAGCTTTAACTTTTATCTTTCTTCAAACAATATTTAACCTGCTAGCTCAATTTTTTTATTAAAAATCATACAACCCATTATCACCATCATTACACCCACAACCATTCACTTGCACATTAAAACAAATGAGAACAAGAACTTCTCTAAAACTACTTGAAATCATAAAAATCAATTTCTTTTTATGCTAAATAGAAGAATCAACTAATTGAAATTTGAGCAAATTACAAAACAAAGATTGTTTTTAACAAATTGCAAATAAACACAAGCAACACTCCTCCCTTCCACACGAAAGTGGCCAAGCAATGGATGTCAGTCTGCACCCACAATCACACATGAAAGTGGCCAAGCAATAGAGAGCAGGGATGGCATGGGATACGCAGTATGCCCGTTCATCCATTTTTCTAAAATCTAAATATATATATAACCTTAAATTGACATTAGATTTGTGTGGTATGTATGTAAATGCCCCTTTTTATAATTTTCTTCAAAGTAGGAGAGATTATCAGCAAAACTATATGAGATCCAACAAGGAGAATGTCGATGCTAGAAAGAAGAGAAGAGCTTCTGAAGGAGGGCTTGCAGATCGACAGAGGGGATTCTGGCGGAGGAGGAACTAGAACAAGATTTTGGTTGTAGGCAGAGTTCTAGAGGCAAAGAAGAACAGGGAAGGGGTTGCAGTAAGAGATAAGGCTGCAACAAGGTTGGGAAGGTTTTGTGCTGGGAAGGGCTTGCAGGGAGATTGATGGTTGCAGGAAAGAGGAGCCAGAAAGGGTCGGCAGATGAAGACTGCCATAGGGACAGCAGTAGAAGGCCATCGAAGGAGGGTTGACAAATGAAGGTTGTCGTAGGATTTAGATGAAGCTGAACGACGATTTAAACGAAGCAGATGGGCTAACCAGACGTGCGACTAAAGCAAATGAGCGAGACAGAGGAGAAACGAAGGACCAATTTGTTGGACTTTAGTGATTGAACAAGATAACTGACTCGTACACGCGATCTGTTTGAATGGACGAGACAACTGAGGCTAAGGCACGCAGGTAGAGCTCAATCGAGAGACAGAACGCGTGCGTACGAGCGGTGTGCGAGACTCACTGGTCTTGCGAGCTGAAGCGACGAGAAGTAGTGAGGTGCGGAGACGCCGCTGAGGACGTAGACATCTAGCTAGGTCAAAGACGTGGAGGTTATGAGGATTAGAGCATTGAGTACATCTTGACCTCCAAGATGAGTAGCGGCAATGACGGACAAAGGAGGAAAATCTCTGATACCATGTTGAAAACATGTATGAGGAAAAATTACTTCATTCAATTATTCACATGTAGGCTATATATATATATATATATATATATATATATATATATATATATCTGAATTTACAAACTTACTAAATGTATCTAGTCCAATTTAGGAAATAAAGCAAATCTCTCCTAATTTACAAATTTACTAAATATATCTAGTCTAATTTAGGAAATAAAATAATTCTGAAATAAAAAAAAAAAAAAACTTAAAATAGGAAGGGAATAAAACTAAGAAAGGTTTTTCCAGATACATACCTAATCAAATCATTTCATGATTGCGTGAAACAGCTGGCCGGTCTATCATGAAGAGGAGCTGAACTTCTCACCTTTCTACAGTTCTGTGGCGCCCTAGAATTTGGACTGCAAGAATGAGATAAAGGGAGTAAAGAAGTCGGTTATTAATTCTTTATGGCATTTTGTATTTTTGGTGAACTACAAGCCCCTAGGTTATAACCTAATAAAAAAAAGATGATTAAGATTGCTAAAAACGTACTCCGGTAAATTGGCCTAATTTCTAGCTGATTACTTCCTGAATGATCCTAGCTTTAGTCGTGCTATTATGAGAGTCATTCAAGATTGGCAAACTGCATGCATGATAAAGCAATAAATAATAGAGAAATATTTCTTAGTCAATTGGAAATGGTAGAGAATATAACATTTCTAAGTTGGAAAACCAGCAAATTTTATTAATTGCATCTCACTAAAGGATACTATAGGCCTTTCATTTATAAGTTCAAATACTACAAATAAAAAGTACTTAGCTGTTTGAAAATCTAGTGCAGAAACCTTTTCTTTAATAGAAAATTGTAATATTGGAATTGCACTAGGTTTTTAAAGAAAAGTGTAAAATCAGTCGTCTGGTGTGTAAAATCATTTCTTCCGTTTGTGCTTACTGCTGTTGCTACTGCATTTGACAAACTGCACTAGATTGTGTAAAATCACTCTTCCGTTTCTGTAAGCACAATTGTTGGATGCAATTCTAAATCAACATGCATTTTAAATTTTGCAAACCCGTCAAGTTTAATGATTCAATTTTACACACTGGGAAGAGTGAAAATGAAATAATAATTTTGTAAATTATGTTTTCTGTCTTGAAGATACAAAATTTTCTCTGATTTGCAAGTATGAAATTGGTCTTTCTTACTCTAAAAAATCCTTTGTCCATCTAACTTATCAATTTTTTGTTACTTAGTTAATAAGAGCTTTTAGTACTCCGCTTGGTTCATGTGTAGAAACGGAAGCAAAAAAATAAATAAATAAATAAATAAAAAGAGAAAAAAAGAAAAGAAAAAAAAGTGCTTTTTAACTTTAAGCTATTAAATTTCTGAAAAGTTTCATATACAATTTCTAGTGAGTTCGTACTTTCGATGAACACTTGGATAATTGTTGTTTTGAAATGCTTTTTGATGCACAATGTTTATGGTAAATATTTCAATTTACTATTTTGTATGGTTTTTTTTTATTTGGCCCTTTTTATTCTTAGGATGAACTTTTGATTGTGTGAATAAGATTTTATTGTATACCAATTTCATGAATTTGAAATGTCAGCTGGAAAGCCTCATCCTATATACAAATTTACAGGTCAGTGCCCTGGATTTCTCATGGAAACAATTATTTGTTGCTTCAACTCGTCGTGACTTATTATGGAAAGCTTGCTACAAAAATATCAAGTGAGAACTAGTCAAACTTTATGACAATGAGAAGGTTTTCAGGGTGTAAAGGGTAGATACAGGTCTTAATTCTCAGAATGAGTATTGTTTAATCTATTGCATGAAACTCTTTCTTACAACCTGATTTAGGATTCCAGAAATTTTTATATTATATTGTTTAAACCCTTTTGACTTGACCGGAATGCTTACTTTATTATAGCACCGCTACACTGGTAAAAGTTATCTTCAATATATTGTTTTTGTTTAAAGTTGAAAACCTCCCATGAATGCTGAATATTACATATTGTAGATGGATTGAAGATGATGCACTTTGTTTACCATTTGAAGACAGCTGTTTTGATGCAATAACTGTTGGGTTTGGACTGCGAAATCTGATTGACAAACAGAGAGCTATGCAAGAAATCTTTCGGGTTCTCAAGCCAGGTTTGCTCTTTCGAGCAGTCCTATCCCCTCTCACAAATTTAATGTTTCCGTGGTTTTTGGCAGGGTCGAAGGTGTCGATATTGGATTTTAACAAGACCTCTTCTTGGATAAATCAATTCCGGGTATGCATTAACAGATCGCTGAGATTCTACGGAAAAATAATAATAATTTGATTGTTGTTGAAGCGGCCTTGAAGTTTTGTTTGTTGTGTAGAAGCTCTGGAAGCTTTTTCTCATATTTGCTTTCTATACATAGGAGTGGGCGCTAGATAATGTGGTTGTTCCTGCCGCAAGTATTTATGGCCTTTCTGATGAGTACAAATACATAAAGTCATCAGTTGCAGAATATTTGACAGGTCTAAACCTGTTTTATTTTATTCATAAATTTTATTGGAAATTTTACATACATGCCACTTAATTCTTATGTATTTATATATCAAACATCCAAACTTCAATTTTGACAGACATGCAACCTCATCTATGAATGGAAAGTTGTATTTCACTTTTTTTTTAGTTAAAATAGTGGTACTTTTGATGTGACAAAGAAAGATTTGAGTGGTAGAAATATAAAAAGCAATGTTTAAGTGTTAGATATTTAAATATATTGGAATTGTGTGGTCTGTATGTAAATGCCCCATTTTATTTTGCTCTTTTGACAAATATCAAGGTTTCCGTGAAGCTATGGGTTTATTAGCCAGCTTTTTTAAGATAGCTGGTAGGAATACGAAATCATAGATCTAATAGTATTGATTCATCCTTTTTGGCTTTTGATTTTACTACGATAAGATTTAATATTTTTTTCATGTCTTTACATAAACAATTGATTTTTTTTTGTCTACTGACAATACCTTGGTCATAGTTTTTCAATTTTTCTCACCTCGTGAGATTTACATGCGACATAACTGAATTGTCCGCTAAAATTTATTCTACTTATTGTCATGTGATCTCAGATTAAGCTATTTTTTGTATACGTAAAAGCATGGAACTTGATTTCATGGTGATAGAAGATTAATTATTTCAGTAAAAAAAATGTCTGCTTGATTGTACTCTCATACCGCATCATTACTGTTTGCACTTCGCAATTATGCTACTCTAGAACAAGTTCAATATAAATTTTTGAGTAGTTTCTTTGGTAAAAAAGATGGCTTTAAAGAACAGATTACTAATAGCTCAATTAGTAACGATAAAAGGTTATTTGTTTAAGGTTTGTTTGGGATCACTTTTATTTTATTTTTTATATTTATTTTTGTTTTTATTTTAAAAATATGTTTGTTTAATGATTTTTTTGCATGTTTTTATTTTTTATTTTTAAAAATAACTAAATATACTATATCATTTCAGACATGTTTTGTTTTCCATCAAACTTAAAAAAATATATAAAAATAGAAAAAACAAAAACAAAATCTCTGAAGTGATCCCAAACAGTCTCTTAGTAAATCAACATGTTTTGTATTATTAAGCAGACCAGATGCCATACCACAAACAATCTCACACGCCTAGCATTAAAAGAGTAGGCTGAGTTTTTTGAGTTATTTGAGATCTTCATAGTCCTACTGTTAGCATCAAGGTTGATACTCTCTTTTTTAATGTTTTTCTATGATCCTAGTGCTTAAATAGGTAGTCTGGGATGAGAAGCTTCTTTGCTTGGCATGAGATGAATGATTTGTAGTGTGTTAAATATGGCAAGATAAAGTTGTAAATTAAGCAATATTAGAATATCATTGTTCGTGATTTGGACATTCAAGGTGTTGCTTCCATCTTGTACTGAGTTCAAGGAATTCAGAGGCATAAGAGATGTCTTACTAAGGCTCTCTTGAATTGTATACAAAATTCTCTTTTTATCATTTTGATTACCTTAATTAATTCAATTAGATTGTTTAATGATTCGAGATTTTTTTTTATAATGATTGAGAATTAATGATCATATTAATCAATGCCCTTCATCCTAGGCTTAGAAGTGCGTCTATTCAATCACATATGCCTTGAGAATACCTATGAAAATTTTTTTGAGTTATAAATACATTGTATGTTTCCATCACTTGCTTTTTCACCCCAGGCTAGATCTATTAGGTCATCAATTACTCCCACTTAGGTTGAAATCTTTAGATTTAACCTAAATTGACTTTGATAACTATTCAACCAAATGGACAAGACTTGGTCTCCTGGCTATAATCTGCGAAACAGCGAGAATGTGTGTTATGCAATCAAAATGTAATTTCTTCAAACTAATATTTTGAAGTATTAATGGAATTTTGATTCCATTGAACTATTGGAAGGTGAATTTTGACGGTGACGGTGTGATAAATGATAAGCCAGTGATTAATGTGAATGTTTTAGATTTTCAATGATAGTTTTGCAGAATTTTATGTCATATGGTGCATTTTTATTTTGAGAGGGAGAAGAAGCGAACGAAATAGGGGGGAGCTAGAGGCGAGAGAAAAAAGTTAGTTTTTCTCTGTAAAGAGAAGCGCTTGAAAGAGGTAGAGGCGAGCTTACTTACCTAAGAGTCGAGCAAGCAGCGTCGAGGGAAGCGGGGGAGGGCTCCTGGGATCGTGTGGCTTCAGTAGTTGCGGTGAGTGCAACTAGGGCAAAGAGAAGGGTGCGGGCAGAGGGCTTCAACTGAGCCCTAACAAAGAAGGGGATGCTGCAATTGAGCAAAGGAGGAGGCGAGTGCGAGAGAAGATTCTTTGCGCACAATGACATTTGATCCCGTGTGATCTAGCCAAAGAAGAAAGGGAAGGGGGAGCGTGCGAGAGCCGAGTTAGGCCGAGTCTTTTAGAGAGGTTAGGATTTTAATTAAATGAAATAAGTATATTATAAATTATTAATAATGGGGTTTAATGAAGTTGGGATTCTACCTAGAGAAGTTTCGCTTTGATTTGAGAAAAGATAGTGGCAATAAAGAAAAAGAAAGTATTTTATTATATTAATAAAATCATTATAAGTATTAATTTCAATGATTAAACTTAAAGTTCAAGTATTGAAATCTTAATTAATTAATATAATTCAATTTGCTAATTGATAATTAAATTAATAATAATAATAAAATTTTGTAGCTTGAATATTTTATACATTATAGGTGATAACTTGGAAGTGGTGATAAACATTAAAAGCAAAGAAAATCATTCGTGATTAAGGTGAGTACTCATAATTTTAATCCATAGTAATAATTTGTTTTTAAAATTTTTTGCAGTTGATGATATTTTTGCGTGCTTTATTCTGATTGAGATATTCTTTTCTTTATTGGTCAATTCGTTACAAATGTTATAGCTACTTATTTTCATGCATCTAGTGTTTGTTTTATATAGCTTGTTGAATTGAATGCTATGAATACTTGAATGATATGTTTATGTTGATTGGTTGTATATGCTTGACTGACTATGATTGAGTCATCCATTGATGCTACTAGTGAGGGAGCACTAAGGTACTCATGCACGTATATGAAAAAATATATTGATATTGATATGTCTTAATTAAGGCTGTCAAAACGGCTTGTTGTTTGCGAATAGCTCGCGTTCGGCTTGTTAAGAAACTCGTGTTTGATTCGTTCGCTAAGTTAACGAGTTGAACACGTACAATATGAAAAAAGATTTGTTCGTTCGTGTTCAGTTCATTTTGGCTCGAAATATATATATATATATATATATATATATATTTTTT